AAATTATCACCACAGAACTCTATGTGTGTTCCCCCCTGAAGTCACCTGCATCTGCAGGAACATAAAGCACAACTTTTCTTTGGATGGATAGGCAATTATGACCCCAAAAACATTCTGCTGGTAGCTGCAATGTCCTGCTGAAGTCAGTGTTCACATCTGCTGTCAGCACTGAATCCACGCAGGGACAGAGACAATGTTTTTATTACCCTTGTGGGGCTGGTGCCACAGATGAGCCTGCCATGGTAATCATGGTTAGAGAACTAAAAAACAGACTCTGCCTGGGTAACTACTGCTAGTTACCAGGAAATAACTTCAAAAGAGGCTGTCTCCCCAGAAATAAACTTTCCAACAGACAGCTCTCAAACAAAAGCTCAAAGATGAGAAAATACCATGGGAGTAGTTGTTTATTTTAAATTATGATCAAGGGAAGTACGATCCATTTTGTCATTACTAATTACAGGAAGGACTATCTTGGACCAGGTTTTGGAATTGGGAATCTCTTCAGAATAAAAATTACACATTTCATTACCAGTATAACCAATGTTGCTATGCTGAGGTTACTTTATGCCTGGTGTTAGACAAATGCTGGAAATCCACTTTAATTATATAGACCACCCTTGTCTACACAATGAGCCTGTCAAATTCTTGGTGCAGACTTATTTAAAAGCCCTTATTTAAAGGGCTTTTAGAGCATCCTTTAAACAGCCAACTTAACCTGAAAGGAATTGGCTGCTGCACATTGACAGTACAAAGCCATCAGCTTTCTACAGAAGAGTTGGGTAGATAAGGCTTTAAGGCCACAAAGTCTCACTGAAGACCACTAGTAATTAGGGTCTTGCATAGTAAAGAACATAGGAACCAAACTTATGATGCATCAGTAACAACTAAATCTTTTTATCCCTGTGTTTCTGTGCAAAGTAACCAGTAATTAGTTACTACTCTTTCTATTCAGAATCCACTGAAATCAGAACATTGAATGAATACATCGAAATTCAGGAGAAACTTAACATTATAACAAAGCAATTACAATGCAACAATATTCCATCATATTACATAGGAAGGAGTTTCTATTAGAATAGTATATTTATCCAACTTTAAAGTAAAGATCACAACAGGACACTACAGACAATGAACATCAATATATTTCTGACTCAAAGCTCAGAAAAATAACTTTTGACCCTGAGAAACTTGCTGTATTAAAAAGCTAAAAAAGATCAGAATCTAAAAGAATCAAGGCTCAGCCAGTTTCATTTCAGATTCTCCAACTGTTAAGCTTCGAAGAAAAGTTTTACCCTCCTAACAGAAATTTTAAGAGATATTTTCAATTTAAAAACCCCAGCAATTCATGCTATCCACACTTCTGTGGTTTCATTATCTTTAAGGCTTGCAACTAATATTTAGGTTTTCAGCCTGTATTTGACAGGAAGAAAAATTTTAAAATTGAGGTGGTTGAAGAACTTAAAGCTTAAATGTCTTTCATTCTCAACATCATCTAGAAAAACCAATTACAGAAACCAGCTTGTCACACTTTATGGATAGAGAAGCCCTAGTCAAGTCCTTCATTCTCATTCCAGTTAAATAGCTCCCTAAAAGATCAATCAAAATCAAAACAATGTTCCAAAACATACATCCTCCAACATAGGATCTGGTTTAGATTATTATTTTAACAACTTAAATATTTAGCAAGGTTTAAGAACAGCAAGAGGAAATAAGCAGATGAAGCCATAAGGAAACCCTGTATGTTTGAACAAAGAAAAAACCAATCATCTGGGGGTTTTGGCACAAGCAATATTTTGAAAGAGTTTCTGCTAGAACTTGAGACAAAAATTACAAACCACTATAACGAGATGTTGATTTCTGGCCATGTAGCATGTTTTCTACATTTACTTGTGTGTTAAGGGCAAGAAAACAATCCTTTCTTCAGTAACCTGTTCTTCTCTACTAAGTGTAAACAAGATTCATTGAAATCACACAAACTAAAGATGTAAGCTTCCACATAATTTTTATTCTGTACTGGCAAAGCAGCCTTCATATGCTGCAATTTAAACTACTACCTAATTCAACTTCCTAATGTTTTTATACTGTCATCAAGTTCAGGCTACACTGGTTTTGCCCTCTCCAAAAACCTTACTAAAAAGATATGTACTGGATCAGCTCCCAGGGGTAGCTCATCATCACATAACCACATAAGCATTGAGCCAAGAGGAGACAGCAGGGCTAGCTGACAATCCAAGTTTGCATCAATCTGAACTGCTTTGGAACCACACCTTTGTAAGTGGCAATTCAAACACATGCATATTGCACATGAACTGAAGCAGTAAAAAATGCAGTAAAAAATGAAGCAGTTTGTTTTCCTTCCTTCTCCTGAAAGCTGTTCTCAATGGCAGTGATGGTACAGGAGTAGAAAAACAATTCCAGTTCACAGTTTCAAGTATTAAGCAAAAAGGGTGCCAAACTGGAATTTTATTATTATGTGAGGCATTTAAGAGATAGTAAAGCAGTTTCCTGACCTTGTCAGCAGTAGCTGAGTTTCAGCATTCAGGAAAAGCAAAGAACAGACAGCTGTAAGCAGGAACGGATCTCAAACTCAAATGGAATCTTCTCATATCCATAAACACATTTAGATTCAGGGTGCAGGTTTTACCTAGAGAAACTTGGACAAAGACAGCTCCTCATATCCAGGTATATGGAAAAGGTTTTTTTGTGAGGTAATGAAAAACACCAGGAGGTCAACTCAGCCATTGGTCCCAGCCAGCACGGCTCATGAGTGGCAAGTCTTGATTGTCAAACCTGACTTCCTTCCACTACAGGGCAGCCCACCTAGTCAGTCTAGGAAAGCCAGTACAAATAATCCTTCTGGACTTCAGCAGAGCTTTTGCCAGAGCATCCTTCTAGACAAAATGCCCAGCACACAGCTGGGTAATTGTGTTATATTATAGGAGAGCAACTGGCTCAGGGGTCAGGCACAAAGAGTTAGAGAATGGGGTGACACCAGCCTGGCATCTAGCCTTTGATGGGCTCTAGCCTCAGCCCAGTTTTCTTCAAAATCTTCATTAATGACTTGGATGCAGAACTCCAAGGAATACCAAGAATGACACTAAATTGGGAGCAGCTGTTGACTCCCTCAATTGCAGGGAGGCCCTGCAAATACCTTGGTAAAATAGAGGCCTGGGCAATCACTGAACATAGGAAGTTTAACAAAGTCAAGTGACAGATTCTGCATATGGGGTGGGGCAACAGACAGACTGGGGAATGGAAAGCAGCACCACGGAAAGGGATCTGAGGGCCCTGGCAGGGTGAGTATGAGTTAGCAGTGCCCTGGCAGCCTGGAGGGCACCAGGCACAGCATCACCTGCCAGGCAAGAGAGGGGATTGTCCCCTCTGCTCTGCACTGGGTGTTGCACTGAGTGCTGGGGGCAGTTTTGGTGCCACAATGTAAGAAAAAGACATTAAGCTGTTAGAGAGCTTAACAGAGGGCCACGAAGATGAAGAGTCTGCAGGGGAAGACTTAGGAGGAGTTGCTAAGGTCGCCTGTTCACCCTGGAGAAGAAACTGAGGGGAGACATCACTGGGGTCTTCAACACCCTCCTAAAAGGAAGTGGAGGGGCAGATCAGGCTGATCTCTTCTCCCTGTGCTCAGTGACAGAACTCAAGTAAATGGCCTGAAGCTGAGCCAAGGGAGGTTTAAGCTGGATATCAGGAAGAGGTTCACCAAGAGGATATTCTGGGACTGGAACAAGGTCCCCAGGAAAGCAGTCAGGGCACCAACCCTGTCTGATTCAAGGAATGTCTGGACAATGTTCTCAGGCACGTGGTGTGACTCTTGGGGTGTCCTGTGCAGGGCCAGGAGTTGGACTCAATGGTCCTGATAGGCCCTTTCTGACTCAATATGTCATATGATACTCTGACCCTGAAGTATTATTTGCATTTTGTGCCTTTGGGACTGAAGTCTCTAGATCTGCCCTGATAGGATGCAATGCCTATTGGCAAAAGAAAAGACATGTGACCAGACATCTATAAATCAAAGTAAGAAAACGATTACCACCTTTAGTGATTTAGAAAAAAACATCTATCAAGTGTACAGAACACAGCATTCTCTTTTAGAAAAACACTAGAGGTGAAAACCTCCTCAAGATACAAAGGATCAAAAAAAGATTCAAGTTCAAATTTTCTTTAAACTTTACTGAGACAAGACCCAAAAGTATGTAATGCTCAACTTGGGAAAATCCCACTTCCTGATACTAAACGTTTAGTCCTCCTGAAATGTGAAGGACACCAAAGTCAGTAATAAAAGTATTTTCTTTAGTATTTGTTGCATTAAAAATAACGCCTACAAAAATGAGATGTGCAAGAGAAGTGATAAATACAAACTTAAAAGGGCCAGCATGAAAAGTGGGACTGAAGTTGCCCACTAGCACTGTGTGATGCCGTGTGGATGCCTGAATGTGATGTGCATGCACAGCATCACCCTTCCACCAAGCTTTCCTCAAACCTCTTCTGCAGAACCCCTGTATGACCTTGGCCAACCTTCATCTTTTGTGAAACTGCAATTACATTGCACTCTTGTACATTCTTAAGAAATAAGCAAAAGCTTTAATGTAAATCCTCCTAAGTTTATGAAGGCAAAGGAGACTCAAACTTGGTCTCATAAAGAACTTTAGTATAGAAGAATATTACTATAAAGGGTCATAAGCAGCATTAAATAACCTATATTAAATACCTAAAAAATATAATCTTTTGCATAGAATAAAGAAAAGTGCAGCTACAGCGCAGCATTCCATACCAGAAGAAAGGGCTAATTTATGGGTGGTATAGAATTAACTGTTGTCTCTCATCACTGAGACTGCAGCAACTAAAGACATGTTTATAGGGAGAATCACTTTTGAAAAAAAAGGTGATTATTGTTTCACTATGTCTGTGAAGTAAGTGCAAACACTTAAAATTCTTTTTTTAAAAAGCAAAGCTGATACGTAATTTTCACCAGTTAATTTTCTCTTCATATTACTTGGAAAAATTAAATTGCTTTTGTTCTTTTAGAATCCAAATTAAAATTAAATCCACATTTGGCATCTGTTTTGTGCAAAATAATAATTAGAAAGCTTATAGAAGTACAAGCTTTATCTGTTCTATAAAAGCTGGTTGTTTAAGGATTATGAACTCTTCATGCCCTTCTAACTTTTGTATTGCAATCCCTGTGGTAATCAAGCACAGAATAGCATTAAGCCTGGGAGACTTATTTCCACTGCTCTGAAAAATAAAGAAAGAGGCTAAGTGGAGAGTCAGAAACTCTAGGAAAATAAATATTGTACACTTTTGAAAGGAAGCAACAACTTTTAAGTATCTTTCTACGGACCATATTAACACATCTAAGTATAAGAAAGAAAAGTATATACCTCACCAGTTGCTAAGACATCTTCAATTTTGGTAAAAAGTCAACTTATTTTACTGGATATAATTTGGTACTACAATTTGGTAAATGGGATACTTAAAATAAATAAAATAAATATTGTATTTATATATCTTTCAAGACTGCTTGTTTCTGTAATGAATTAGTGTCTGTACTGTTAGATTTCCCTCTGTTTAGCTTTTTTCACACTATGTCTCCACTTACGAATGGCAGTTCCAGTACTACTGGCTACTACACAAAGGGCACCACCCACAGTCCACCAAGTTGGTAGTTGATTGAGAAAAAGAGCTTGTAAAATAAAAGCAAACACCACATCCATTGTTCTCATTATTGATACAGGTCCAGCTTTCTCTATCTGTAATGCTTTTGTGAGATATATCTGACCCCCCAACCCTAACACGCCTATTAATATGAGAAAAACCCTATCTCTACCACAGTGTGGTAAACGCCATTCATTCAAAACAAACAGTGCTACAACACACCCAACTAATCCAATGACAGCATAATACCAAATTGACAAGAAGTAGTGCACAGATTTTCCCATCTTCCTTAGTATAACAAAAGTTGAGGCTGCAGATACTGTGCTTGAAATCGCTGCTATAGTTCCTTTAAGGTGATCTGAGTAACTTCCTTCAATGCCTGAAACACGTGAGCCAAACAGAAATGGTGGTCTGGCAATAAGAATCACTCCAGTGACCGCAAAGAGAGTAAAAAGAAGATCCCAAAGGCTGTATTTCTCTTTGAGAAAGATCCATGCCAGCAACGATGTAAAAACAGGACTGGTAAAAGTTATAACAGTGGCATCAGCTAGTGGCATGACTTGGTAAGCATAGTAGAGAAGAACCATTGCAGTAGAGCCAAGGAATCCTCGGAAGAAAAGAAAAATTCTTTTACCTTTTGGTCCCAAAAATCCTGTTCTGAAAAACAGAAATGTCACGTTAATGTCACTGTCTTACTTATTTCATGACTAACATTCAAACATATTTAAGTATGGTACACACCTTTCTAGACAAGGGAGTTTAATACCCAAATATTCTTAACGATCTAATCACAGACCAATTTATTTCCATCATGACCCCCAATCACATTCAGAGTCAGAAACTGTTCTAGTAATTAATTTTTCCCTTGCAAAATAACCCAAGAGCATCTACAAATTACCTTCTGTGTTTTTAAGATCACCCCTTTGTGGAAATCAAAGCATTTGATACAATAATCCTAGTATCAGGGAGTCAAAGATTTTCAGTTTTTTGAATTGTATTAAGAAACTACCAATTAATCTAAAATAATGCAACTGAAGTCCAAACTAAAATAACATTGCAACCATAAAGAAGGAAATTCTAGATCTAGTTTTAAGAAATAACTTTAAATTTAAACATTTTTTACACTTACTTGTAGTATATTAAACCAGGAAGAACAAATGCCATTTGGAAAACACATCGAAATGCACTCACTTCCACTGAATGTACATCTTCTATTATTTTAAGAAGTAAAGAGGCCAATGAGAAAAGGAAGGCAGACAGTATGGTATAAAACAGACCAAGTCCTGGGCACGCAGCTCTCTTCTTTGTGCCTGCAACAGATAAACTACAGTTAATAAGGATCTCTTAGAAGACTCCTCTGATCAGGCAGCTCCACACACTGCAGTGCCCCACGTATCTGTAGTGATTTTTGTGATGGAGAACAGGGGAAACAAAGATAAAAATGTAAATATTACATGTATTTACCAGACCTAACTTGAAAATACTTTTCACTGATGATCATGGATCCTCTTTTTTTCTTAAAACAGGGTGTAAGAGATGAACTCGAAAACCTGGGATACAAAACATTGCAGCTCTACAAATCAGAAGACCCAACTTCTTGTAGGTATCAAACTAGTACGAGTGATTTACTATAGGGGCTAGTCACAATTCTGCCCAGGAACCAATACATATAACAGACTACAAAATAGTCCATGGTCAGATTCTGAAACTATTCTCTTGGGAATCAGCTGCTTACTTAACTAAGGCTCCTAAGCAAAAATTTAATTTCCTTTCTCACAAATACATTGTGTACAAATACACAATGTAAAATCTGTGTACAGAACGTCATTTTTGTTATACATCATGTTTATTTTGCAGCTAAATCACCCTAAATTTGACATAGACTGACAACGTTTTTATCTTGCTGTAAGAATCCAAATATTTTCTTCAAATAGGCATCGAATACACATTTTAAGCAGAATAAATTTAAGTAACTAATGTTAAAACATCAAAGGCCTGATGTCTATCAAAATTCCATGAAGACCTTAGTTTATGCTTATTTATCAGACTTCTCCTTCCTGAAAGTTTCCCAAGTCTAATGTTTCTATTCAAATCTCCTCATTGCCTCAGGCTTTCTTCAACACACTCTTCCTCGTTCCACTCATTTTCTCCACTCTGAACTATAAAAAAAAAGAAAAAAAAAAGCAAGGGGAGGGAGAACTGTGAGACAGAGAACTCCAAGGAGTTCCAAGAGAACTCCAAGCCTTTTTTGTTATTTATTGCATAAAAGTAACACCTAGAGGTGAACATCAAGGAAAACAGAGCCCATCTAAAAATCTGAGTGGGACATCACCTCACTATCTCTTCCTCTACCTGCATAAAACATTGGGAGTTACCTTTTCTTCTGTGACTCCCTCTAAAGATAGGAGCGAGAACTCCATGTCCCTCCCAGAGCAGTGTTTTGATAAAGGGTGCCTCATCTCACGTTAGTGTGGCAGCCTGGGAGCCTTGTGGATCCTCTAAAACATAATCAGCCGGGTACTGCTGCGAGTTGCTTAGCAACTAAGTGTGGTTTTGAGAGGGTTGTTGTTTTTGTTTGTTTTTTTTTAACAAAACTTGTCACAAACCATTTTGATCCTCCTTGAGATCAGCACTCAAGGCTGAGAAACTGCATCTTATTGCCTCAGAGGGGAGACTGCAGGCTGACAGTCCTAGGGCTTTACAACTGCAACCACAACCTGAAGTAGGCAAAAGGTTTGCTTTTCAAGGAATCCTGCCACATTGCAGCTGAAAGTGAGTTACAGCTTCTACTTGAAATACTTCTATTTAGCAACAGCTTCTTACATAAAACTGACTATAAAAACTACCACTAACCAACACCGGACCAGGACATCTACCAACTATGAAACAAAGTGGATTTAAAAATTGTTCATGAACTATGTAATGCCTTAATCCACATAGTCACATAACAGAACTACAAAATCAACAGTCTCTAATATTGAAACACGAGGAATCAGACTGACCTACAACTGAAATGGGAAATCCAAACCCAGGCTGGCTTATGGATGAACACAGCAGAAACAGAACTATTAACTTTTATTTCATGCATGAGAGCTTCTCTGATTATTACAGAATGAAGCCAACCTAAATAAAGGAAGTGTTGAAATGGAAAACCAATCAAATTAAAGCAAAATACACTGAAAGGATCTTACACCCAGAACTAAGCTTTGGATTGTAAGGAACAAACAAAAATCAGAAGGAACTTCTGTAAGCTACCCAATATACCAAGCCTATCAGAAACAGAATCTTCAGAACTTTGTAACACTAGAATTTTAACCATCAACATCTTGAATTGCCAAAGCAAGTACTCAGTGCAATGAGAAAGTGTTTTATTTCCTTTTAAAAATAAGATGGTCCAAGTTCTTCTACCAAAAACAAGAACTGCAGTTCTGAAAAGTACTTATTTCAAGGTAAGTTTTAGGGAGAAGTTAGGTTAAGATAACATTCGCACCCCACGAAATATTAAGCCTTGAAATACTAGCCTAACACCACCAAAACAGTCAAGCACTCATGCTTTTTTCAAAGAATGTAGCAGTCCGAAAATCAAAAGGTTTCAAGCAGTACCCGAGTCCTCTTTTTTGAGTGGCTACAGACTCGGTTTTCCAATTTCATTCCCTGGCCATCTCCACACATAATGCTTTCAAACAATTTTCCACTCCCGTTTTAAGTCACAGGTAAATGCCTCCCAGTGCAACCTGTTTTAGGTGTAAATTCTAATTGTGTTTTTAATGCTTTAATTGTGTACTTTGCTTCAAATAGTTTTTATACTTGCAAAATGCATGCAATGAAGAAAATGACACTTCTCACATACAGGATGTCAAGAATAGTAGCAGAGGGAGAAGAGTATTGGCTATGGGAAAGATGGTCAGCAAGAAGATGATCCTCCCAGACCTTCAGGAAAGTCACCACGTTATAAAAAGCAGAAGAGCTCTCTTTGACGTCTGTGAAGTACCAGGAGCAGAACAGGCTGCATTGGAACTAATCATGGTCATGCAGACAAGATCTAGGCATGATTCATAGTCAGTCATAGACTCAGTCAACAATTTTACGAGACAGACGACCCAAAACCAAAGTACTCTTTCTGGTTAATTAATAAAAGTTTATCAGGATTTCAAACAGTTTTTTTTCCCCCCCAAGCTTTGCTTTAGAACTGACACTAATGTGAATTTCACTGGTGAAGGACTCTGGCCTCTCCACAGCTCACCAACAAATCTATTTGCTGCTGGAAAGTCAGTTTCAGTCAATTTTAAGACAAACACATTTTCAGTGAAGTCGTTCTGAAGAAAAGTACTCCAGATAACTTCAGAAATTATTTTAAGATGGCATTTATGTTTTAAGAGAACTCCACTTTAAACCTACATATTCCATATTTCACAATACGTTTGTGGCTTTATCAATTGAAAATTATCAAGAAGTGAAGCATGGACTCGAGTTAGGACAAAATTACTACACTCAGACTAAGGCAATGTAAGAATCGCCCAAGAAGTCACAGTCCCAAGTACGTGAACTAACTGAAGTGCACTGTCAAATGCATTTATAGTGCCAGAAGTTCATACAGGCAGAAGGCACTTCTATTTACCCAAACCTGTCAAGTCTTACTTTAAAACTTTTAAAACAGGAAGTACTGTTTTCCCGAGGAATACTCGCTGGCGAGGCTCTCTCCAAGGCGGCAGAGCCGCCCCGCCCTGGGGACGAGCGGTCCCGGCGCTCTGCACGCTCCCGGGGCGTGCGGAGCACCGGGCCGAGCCGCGCCCGGCGCCCCGGCACAGGGTACAAGGGCACGGAGCAGCCGTGCCTGCCGGCCCGCTGACTCCTCCACCGGGGCCGGCTTTTCCGGGCAAGAGAAACGGGAAGAAAAGGGGGAGGCCGAACCCGCTCGCAGGTGACCCGCGGGCACCAGGTGCGAGCCGCCGCTGGGGACGGCTCGGAAGCGGCGAGGCGGCTCCTGCCGGCGCTGGGGTGGGCACCGATGCCGGGCGTCCTCTGCAGCCGCCCGAGCCCGCTCCCCGCCCCGCCGCCACGTGCGGACGGCCCGGTGCCCTCGGGCCGCCGTTTTTTCCCCCGCAGCCCGGCAATGTCACCCCGAGAGCGGGCAGCCCAGCCGGGACGGCGCTGCTCCCCTGCCCCGCCTGTCGGACTCCCCCTCCTCACTCCTCACCAGGTGCCTCGCAGCAGAACGGCCAGGACATGCCCGAGCAGCAGCCACAAGCGCGGCGCTCCTCGGTGCCCGCCGCCTCGACGCCGGGCGCCGGGCACATGCACGGCTGCAACGCGCCCGGCCCGTCCTCCTGGCCCGGCGGCACCTCCGGCTCCTGCCCGCCCGCTGCCGGAGCAGCGTCGCCCTCTCCGCCCTGACACAGCACCATGGGGACGCGGGGCTACCACGATGCTCCGGCGGCTCCTCGGCTGCCGGCGACACCTGCCCTCCTGCGCATGCGGTGCGGCCGCCCGGCGCCGCCCGCCGCCTTCCCTCCGCCCGCCCGCAGCGCCGAGCACCCGCGGGGGAGGCTACCCCGGGTCCCGGCTCCGCCACCCCCCGGCAGGCCCCGCCTGGAGCCGGCCGGGCGGCGCGGCCCTCCCGCGGCGGGTACCTGCCTGCGAGCCCCGCGGCGGCCAAGCGCCCCTGCCGGGCCAGGAGGCAGCGCCCCGGCGCTTCCTGCCTGGCGTCTCCCGGAGAGAGACCCGGCGAGAGCGGCGGGAGCGGTGCCGGGGAGCAGCGAGGCCGCGGTGCCTCGGGAGGGGGAGCTCTGACCCCGCCGGAGAGCGGAGGGGGCTGCGCAGGCCGCGGCTGTTTGTACAGACGAGATAAAACACTGGGAAAAGGTGACTCGAAGTTATTTTAGGGGCGTTGTTGCGTCATCTGCGCGCCCGAAATGAGAGCAGTGAAAGCAGCGCTGTGTGTGTCCGTGTGTCCGCGGCACTGACCCCGCTCAGCTCAGCCTGGCCGGGCTCTCCGGCCCCGCACTGCCCGAGATAACCGAGCCCGGCTGTCCCGGCGGGATTCCCGCTGGAGCGGGCTCTGCTCCCCTTGGAGAGCCGGGATGGCCCCGCTGGGCCCCTCAGTGCTGCCGTGTCACTGAGCAGGGGCAGAGCATCGCTCCCTGCAAGAGCTGCTGCCTGCTCCGGCAGCACTCGGGTCAAAATGGAGATGGGAACCTAGTGGGCCATTCAGTCAGGATTGTTAGTAGGGTACAGAAATCATTTAGCCACCTTCTCGTATGTTTTCCCCAAGAAAACAATGCCGCCTATGGCTTTGGGCAGAGGAATCAAAAAGGGTAAAGAGAAAAACAGGAGTAGCCCTTTTTCTTTACTCATGAAAAAGTGCGGAATAAATTTGGAATGCTACATTTTTTCCCTTTTGAGCAAGTTGAACTGTTATCAATAATTAAAATGGGAGAAATTTCTATTAAAAGTAAAGATTTATGCTCACGTTAATCTCTTAGCTGCGTAAATTAATCTGTGTTTATTTCTTTATTCTTAACAAAGGGAAATGTGATCTACAGCTTTAGCAAAATGAATGCCAAATGGTAGATAAAAGCTATTTCATACAAACGGTTTTAAGTTTTCCCTCAAGCTACCTCATAAAAGCTATTTCAAGCTTTCAGTGTCTTAATTTAGCACATTTTATAGTCCATGCTAACCCACCAGAGGCTGTAAGTATTTCATTATCTTGGAGCCAACATTTGATTAATATGACCAGAATTGTTTCAGAAATTATTCTTAACTAAAAATTAGATGTGCTATATCAATTATTAAAATAAGAGAAATCAATTAATAAGGTTTTGTTGAAATCAGAATTATTTCTAAGTATTTATATTATCTGAACTGTTGTTGCTATAAACCAGGCATATAATTAAATATATGCTTCAGTATTTATAAACAACTTGTATTACAGTTCCTATCAACATAGCTCTCTACAAAGTCTATACTGAAAGCTTTACTAAATCTTTCCTCTGGAGATGCAAAATTTTCCTAACAGACACTCTTAATTAAGAAGTTACTTTTTCTTAAGGCACTTCTCTATTACTCAGAGTTTGATTCAATTTAGAGAGGGAGGTGCAAATAAACCTGGCAGCCTGTTGCTTTCTCAAGAAACTTACACTTCTCTGCACTCCAAGGCAGCTTTCACAGGCCGGTGAATCGGCGGCACAAAGTTAGAGCTGTCCTTCCCCAGACAGGTTTTGGTGGAAGGGCGGCAGGGATTCTCTCTCAGCGGCCGTCCCAACTCCAAATGATCCCCTGGGTGTCTCAGAGGAGCACCTGGCACATGCCCTGGGCAGTGGGGTGCAGCAGAGCACACCCACCCCAGTTTTTGTGGCTGTCTGCACAGTCACTTGGTGAGTTACCTCTGGAGTCAGTGACTGCAGAAGCAGCTGGCTAACTCAAGTCTTCTGTGAAGAAAACCAGAGCCCAAATATGGTCTACATTACAGATACAGAACAAATTTTAGTGAATTCTTGCAATTTCTGGCTATCTGTTAAAATATGCAGATTACATATTTATTTTATAATGGTAAATTTTTAAAGTGCCACAGTGCCAAGTACTGAGCTGTAGAGAGTTTCAAAGAGACTGCAGCAACCCCCTCCATAGCCCTCCATGTCTGGTTTTGAAAGGGAACATCTGAGGGCAGTGTTTGTTTATGCCAAGATGCATGAAGTGTTCTGTTTGCTCCTGGTCCAACTGCCAGGTTTGTCTCAGCTTGAGAGCTTCCAAGTTCTCCTTGTAAAGTACAACCCTCGTCTCTGAACAAGGAAACAGAGCAGTTGCAGCTGCCCAAACTAACTAGCAGGCAAATGTAATTTGCAGTCATGCTGGCCTAGATTGGAAAATTAAGTACCTGCCTAAATGTGGCAGGTCAATGTCTGATGCAGCTTTTTCAAGTACAGATTAAGTCTCATCTGTGTAATACTGTGTCCAGGACTAGCTGTTCCTTTCTCCAGCACATCACCTATAATATCTTTGCTGAGTGCAAATTCCATAAGAAAAGGCTTTAGTAAACTTGGGCAATTTGATCATTGAAATTAGACTGCAACACCAGCTAGAATGGCATTTATTTGGTTTCCATTGTATCATAAGTGCAGGAGAGCCACCTCCTGCACAATCACCACTCTCCACACACAAGAGCTTTCTTAGGTTGCTCTTTCCAAAGGAAGAATATTATCATCCTCAATCAGAATTTAGGCACAAGTTTTGTCACTATAAATGCCAGGAACAAGCCAGTATTTCCTGCAGGTTTAGCTACAGGCCTGACAGGTACTTTAAAGTCCTGTAATGAGTCGCTGGTCTCGGTCTGTGTGCCTGGTTAGGGACTCTTTGTTTCCATCTCCCCCCCTGCAAATGCTTTCTGACTCCTCTGAGTGGCCTTCCAGAAGCACGAACAAGCACAAATGACAAAGCAATTAAGTAAGTTTTGTGGAGAACCGTGGGACTTTTCTAAGAGATTATAAGAACTTTATCCACTATCACATCATTTATTTTATCCACTGCTGATATATTCTAATGAGCTTTTTGGAACACTGCTGCTTTTGGAGGTTTAGTGAGAACTAAATAATATAAACTGAGGGAGCCCTGGAACTGACCTGGCCCTTACTCACCTCTCATAAGGGCAGCACTAAGAGCTCTGTAGAGCTCCAGCAGGAAATATATCTGGATTCCTGGTAGTGCACGTGATACACCCTGGTGACATCTATCCCAGATTGATCTGAATATACCTATGTCAGCACTTTACGTACTGCTTAAGCTATAAAAGTAGTAGATTTAAATCGAAACAGTAGTCCATATCAATGGCTTTTATTCTGGAAAAATGCCAATTCTGTAAAACCAAGTTTTTAAAGTTTAAGTTGTCTAGCAAAAACTTCATCCAAAGAAGTATAGACTAATGCGAAGCAAGTAACAAAATAAATAACAAACTTGCATGGTTTCCTTTCCTTCTGAAAAGGTTTAACAAAAAAACAGATAAGAATTACTTCCTCAGCTTCTGAAATGGATCGAACTCTTAAGTGCACTGTAATAGCTATTTACCTCTGCACCCGAGTGCCATAAAACAGATGATTATTGCAGCACCAAGGAGTTTCATTGTCCTGGTCATTCATTCGAACTTCTGTCCTACCCAGAGTTGTTTGGGAATCAGAATAGCTGAGGCTGATGGGCACATCTGGTGCCTTGAGGGGTCATCTACTCCACCCCCCCTGCTCAAAACGGGGTCAGCTAGAGTTCGAGACTCTCTTGAGATTTTAAATCATCTCCAAGGATGGAGACTGCACCACCTCCCTGGGCAACATGCTCCTGTGTTCAATCACACATTAAAAAAAATTAAAAACAAAAGTTATGTTTAAAATGAACAAGCACTTGTAGCCTTGCAGCCCAGTGGAAATGTGGTCCATATGAGCTCCTGCTTCTCCATCAAAATTCCAGTCTTAGTGGGTTTTTTGTCCATCTTAGGTGTTAGAAGAGACCTGTATTTTTCAGCTTCCCTGTTAAGGTGGATGGTGAACGATTCTCGGTTTTGCCATCACCACAAATTGCTTCTGCATGTTTATATAGGACTGCTATTCAAACATTTTAATCTTGTGTCACAGTATGCCCCAAGTATCACAGTTTTCTTCTTCCTGAGTTGGTGGTTGTAATGAGTAGTACTGTAAAACAGGAGATGGAGTGGAATATTGAAATAATAGGGAATCCTGCAACTACGGTCAATATAATGGAGATATCCTGAGGCTCTTTTTAACTGCATTTTCCAGATGCAGTTGTTATTAGCTGTTGCTCTTCAGAAGACTGAAAGTATTGAGATAGGTAGATTCTACTATAGGTAGATAGTAGAAGTAAGACGTAAAAAAAAATTCCGTGGTCTCCAGAAGGAAAGATTTTATTTTCTCTACTTCTGAAGAATTGAAAAATAATGGATAAGCAGGACAATATTCAAATTCTGCTTCTATACTTGTTAGGGTGGTTTCAATTCCATATTAAAGGTGTACTGCTTAGCTGATTTTGGTCACATAAAGGTCATGCTTCTGTCCTCAGATGGCTTAACTGCACTGCTTGCTAAGCAATCAAGTCTCTGTAGCTAGTGTTCCTGGAAGGATGAATTAAAAATAATTTTCTACGTACTCTGAAGACCATAGTGTTTTCATTCTTGTATTTCAAATTAATGTCTGGAGAGCTTATGCAAATTTAGATGGTCATCCTTAAATTTAAAAAGTCATGTTATTTTTAAAATTCTCTTTAAGCATGAGGAAAAGGCTATTATTCCAATACATTTTGGACAAAAAAAATATTTTCTTTTAATCTCCTAATGAAAAAACTGATTTATCCTTTTTCTTTCTCTGTCATTTATTTCCACCAAAGAACATAAACATCTAAGCAAACC